TCGGGTTCGCCCACTATGAATGGTGTTGTTGAGAGACGAAACAGAACGCTTAAGGGCATGGTGAGGAGTATGATTAGTCATTCTACCTTACCAGAATCTCTCTGGGGTGAAGCATTAAAGACCGCAGCTTATATACTCAATAGAATTCCAACTAAGGCTATTGATAAAATCCCATATGAGCTTTGGACGGGCAAGAAGCCTAATTTGAAGGATATACATATTTGGGGGTGTCCAGCTAAGGCAAGGCCCTATAAGCCAAATGAAAAGAAACTGGACGCAAGGACCATCAGTTGCTATTTTATTGGATATTCTAAAAGATCCAGGGGTTACAAGTTTTATGATTCCACAACTAAGGCAATTTTCGAGACAAAAAATGCTCAGTTCTTTGAGGATGTTGAGTTTGCGGGGGGAGAAAGGGTTACAAGCTTTGTCTTTGAGGATGAATATGTTGAGATTCCTCCAATTGTCATTGACAATGATCAGGTTTCTATCCCTGATATTGTTCAAGAAGCAACTCCGGATCAAGACAATGTCATACCTCCCTCTCAAGATCAACAAATTGTTCCAGAAAAACAAACTTTACAGCCTCAAGAACCAACGTCATTAAGAAGATCCACTAGAGAGATGAGAAGTGCGGTTTCGGATGATTACATCGTATTTATCCAAGAACATGAAGTTGACATTGGAATGGTGAAAGATGATCTGATCAACTTCCGTCAAGGCATGGAAAGTTCTAACTCTCAAAAGTGGCTCGATGCCATGAATGAAGAGATAAAGTCCATGAAGGACAATGACGTACGGGACCTCGTTCTATTGCCCGAAGGTGCGAAACACATTGGTTGTAAATGAATATTTAAGACCAAGAGGGATTTGAAATGTGATGTAGAGAGGTATAAGGCTCGTCTTGTCGCAAAGAGCTTTACTTAGAAAGAAGACATCGATTATAAAGAGACTTTCTCTCTGGTTTCTTCGAAAAATTCTTTCATAACTATAATGGCATTGGTAGCACATTTTGATCTTGAGCTACATCAGATGGATGTTAAGACAGCGTTTCTCAATGATGACATTGATAAAACAATTTATATGGTACAACCAGAAAACTTTGTATCGGATGATGCAAAGCAAATGGTTTGTAAATTAAAGAAATTCATCTATGGAATCAAACAGACGTCTCGTCAATGGTATTACAAGTTTCATCAGGTGATCATCTCATTTGGTTTTGAGATGAATTTGGCTGATGATTGTATATACCACAAGTTCAGTGGGAGCAAGTATAGTTTTCTGATTTTATATGTCGATGACATATAAGTGCCAGTAACGATATAGGCTTATTGCATGAAACCAAGATATTTCTAGTAAAGAATTTTGAGATGAAAGATCTTGATGACGCTTCTTTTGTATTAGGAATTCAGATACGCCAAAATCGTTCTCGAGGTATTCTTGTATTATTACAAAAGAGCTATATCAAAAAGGTACTTAAAAAATATGGCATGCAAGATTGTAAACCTGGTGACACCCCTGTGGTTAAAGGAGACAAGTTCAGCTTAAATCAGTGCCCTAAAAATGACTTAGAAATTAAAGAAATGCAGAAGATTCTTTATTCCTCAGCTATAGGGAGTCTGATGTATGCTCAAATTTGTACGCGTCAGGATATAGCGTGCATTGTTTGGATGCTAGGGAGATATTTAAGTAACCCGAGAATGGATCATCGGAAAGCAGCAAAATGGGTCATGAGGTATTTACAGAGAACAAAAGACTACGTGCTCACATACAGAAGATCGGATCAGTTGGAGATCATCGGTTATTCTGATTTCGATTTCGCGGGATGCCAAGATAGTAGGAGATCCACTTCAGACTATATTTACCTGCTTGCTGGAGGTGCTATTTCCTGGAAGAGTGCTAAACAAATACTCATAGCTACTTCCATCATGGCGGCGGAGTTTATAGCATGTTATGAGACATCAAATCATGAAATATGGCTACGTAATTTTGTCATTGGGCTGCGCATTGTGGACAACATAGAAAGACCACTTAAGATATTTTGTGACAATAAATTAACAGTGTTGTATTCCAATAACAACAGGAGCTGGAAGAAGTCAAAACATATAAAGATCAAGTTCCTGGCTGTTAAAAAAAGAGTTCAGAGTGGACAGGTGTCAATAGAGCATATTGGGACAAACTCCATGGTTGCGGATCTGCTTACTAAGTGATTGATACCTAAGATCTTTCATGAGCACACTGCTCATATGGGGTATAGTGTCTCTTGAGGATATCTAGTTTCAGTGGGAGTTTGTATTTTTGCTTTTCATATTGGACACATGTACTGTTATTTAGGATACAGTTTAAGATTAAAGTTATTTGGTTTATTATCTTTGAACTTATTTAAAATGATCTCACTAAAGTATTAAGGTGAACCAATTGGAAATAGGCATGTTACAGATTACATTACATATAATTTCCATGCTACACATTCATGTTTGATCCATGTCATTAGGTTATATTGATATACGTGACCAGTGACGGGTTTAGCTACAATGAAGGTAGCGAAAGCCACTTTGATCCTATGTTGATATGATTGATAGATGAGATTGTTTGGGGATGCATTCGGTAATGATAGCAAAATTTCGAGTACTCATAAGGTCGTATTTAATGCACAATTATAAGGTGACACATATAGCCCAAGTGGGAGATTGTAAGAATTTTTTAATCCATGGATGGGCTTATATGTTTGAATAATTGTGTGTTAAATTAAAGGCTATCGAATTCGGTCGAGCCCAATGAAAGTGATCTAATAAGGTTTCGATTTTGGGTTTTAATGTATCCAATTAAAGTGTGGGTTTATACATGTGTAGAGACCGGGCCTAAATCCTAATTCTATGATGGGCCGAATTATGTTAAAGGGCGTCGTTATATAAATACGGTTATGGTCCCCAAATCCTACGTACGTATTATTCATTCTCTTCTGCATCCCATCACAGAGAGAACAAGGAGGTTGCGTGTAGATTTGTAAAACTATATCACGTAATTCATTATTGCATTAACCATGTCTGATTCAGGTAAAATTTCGCTAAAGTTTTTCAATTTCTTGATGATTTAATATGAAAGATTCGGTGATTTAAAGCATTAAATTATCCTACAGGGTGGTGACGAGAAGGGGAAGGGCAGCAATAAGGAAGAAGGTGGTGTTGAAAAGGAGAATGGCGCTGGTGGAGGTGGAGGTGGAGGCAGTGGCAATACAAACCATTGAAATTGATTAAAGTTTTATTCCATTAAGTCTCTATCATCGAACGATCTTGGATGCAATTAGCAATCTTTATTACAAATTTCCAACAAACTTGGAAAAAAAAAAAAAAACCTTGTTTTGATATTTTTTTTTCTTAGGTTAAATTTATTTATACTCAAGAACATAAATACTCACAATGCTCGAAAGAAGCAAGAACTACGTAAAATGGTGCAAAACAACATTTACACTTCCAAAAAATATTCCACCACCCTTGTCAAACTATGCATTTCGCACGTGATCATTTTGAATATTTTTAACTTTGTAATGTAATTGAATTACATTAATGTCGAAAAATTCGAATCTTAAATGAATTTAAATGGCTAAAACTCTTTTTTCCTTTTCAAAACTGATTTATATCACCGACGGAATATTAGTAGGTATCAAGAATTATTGTTCACCTACTGAATATGAATATCCATACTTAGTTATAATTGATCGGTATGATCATATAATCTACGCAGTTAATTTTAAAAATTGTTCCTATAAATTATTCTCCATGTAAAAAAAATTAAGTATTTACAAAAAGGAGGAAGAAGTCACTATCATAATTGATCATCGAACAACAACAATCTACAGAGAATTAATGCTTTTGCATTGTTCCAAAATATTTGTATCAATTCACAAAGAAAAAAAATGGGTGTATTCCCTCTGAAAATTCAAATCCAAGCTCTACATTCCAATTCCCTCTCTCTGGTTTCGTCCCCCTTCAACAAGTTCTTCAATCAATATTAGTGACTCTAATCTTAAAACATAACAAAAATGTACTATAACTTTTAATTAGTTAAAAATTTTCATTAGACAATGGATCATCGATTCAACCAGTGACCCTCGATTGAATTAAAGACCGTTGACCTGGAGTCTTGCTAAGGTGAATGATTGAGTGGATTTGATAGCTATGTTTCGACCATTAAAAATTCATGTGACTAAAACATGACCTTTTTTTTTTTAAGAAAGTGTAGATTTTGTAAATCCTAATTTAATGAATAAATAAACCAAGGAAAAGGTTAAGGTCCTACTTGTGCAAAGTGAAGCTTGGGATCCCAGATCTCATTTTCGCTGATCCCTAATCTATTATTTATGTAGTAATTTAGTCCCCTCACCTTTAAAAAAAGCAAGTTAATCCCCATCTTTTCATTGCAGATCACAACCAAACCTTAACAATGAAAATCGTCAATTTTCATTAGTTTTACATAGGACAAACTTCACGAATTTGGTTTTTGTTTTTTAACTAAGCTTGATGTCTAAAAATTTAAGTGAGACAATTGTTTTACTAGTTATAGTACAAAACTAAATGAATAATTGACAATTTTGTTGCTTACTATGCAATTAAATAAATTTTTTTGACCACCTTGGTTTATTTTAAAAATTTAAACGAAAATTGTTAACGAAAGAATAGGTCAAAGATCAATGATACAAGTTCGTGTTGAACACTTGAAATACAACATTAGAGTCAAATTTTCTAATCTTTCAATTAGTTGTAATTTTGATTCCTCGATCGTCAAATTGCTTCATTTCTAAATGTTATATTGATCAAAGAACTCTAGTTTTTGAATGATAGGACCAAAACCACGCTAATAGAATGGCTAAGGGGCTTCGTATTTTTTCCTTTTTATTTTCTTTGAAGCTTAGCTCTAAAAGTTCATAAAAATTAAAAACTAAAAAGGTTCAATTACAAAAGAGGGAAAGAAATAAAGGGCAAAACCATTCTTTTGAGTACATGGCAACTCATCATGCGGGGTCCACACGCACATCACCACTCCACTACTCCATCTTCTCCAACTTCTGTGTATAAATACGTTATCAGTGCACCGTTCCTTACCCTGTTTGAGAACCCAAAGAAACAATTATAGTTTCTCACAAATGGGTGCGGTAAGATGTTTCAGATTCATCATGGGCTTCTCTTGGCTTTTGTTTTTATTTTTCCCATTTAATTTTTTCAGTCTTTTGTTTTTGATATTTTTGTGTTCCTTTTTGTTTGTGAGTTTTGCAGAAGAACAAGAAAAAGAATGAAGGAGAACAGAAGAATGAAAATGATAATAACAAGAAAAAGGACAATGGAGGAAATGATAATATTACTGCGGTTTTGAAGGCTGATTTGCACTGTGATGGCTGCGCATCCAAATTCCTAAAATGCATTCGCTCTTTTGACGGTACAGATGAACATTTTTATTCTCAAATCTCACTTTTGTTATAAGTTTTTCAGAATAATTTTTCGGTTTTCCTTCTCAATATATTTTTCTGGGTTTTTACTCCGTTTTCTCTATTTTTCACTTTTATTATGATATGTTCTCAATCAATTTTCAAAATATTTTTCTGGGTTTCCATCCTTTTTTTTTCATTTTACCATGACTCTTTTAGAATTTGTTGTATCTACAATTATTATTTTTCTGGGTTTAAAACCCATCCATATTTTCTACTTTTTTATGTGTTTACAATTTTTTCCTTTTCACTTTCTGCATTTTTTTAATTTGACTTTGCACTTGAATAATGTTTGTGGGTATTCTGTGTGTGAAAAAAAGGTGTGAAGACTTTGACCATTGATGAATCTCAGAAGATTACGGTTACGGGGGAATTCGATCCGGCCAAACTCCGTGAAAAAGTAGAGGGGAAAACCCACAAAAAAGTGGAACTGATTTCACCGGGACAGCCCAGAAAGAACGACAACAATAAAGAGAATGAAAAAGGCAAAGAAAATGGAAAAGAAGACAAAAATGCAAAGAATAAAAGTGAAGACAAAAAAACCAAGGACAAGAAGGTAATTTCAATCACTATATTGCCACTGTTTTCCTTACCTGTATTCATTCATATTCCAGATTTTTCTTTTGTCTTTTCGTGATGCACGCCCGGCGCAGTTTAGCAACGGATGTCTCACATTCAATGCACATTCCATCCGTTTTCATTCAATTAAGCTCCCTTTTAACCCTCATTAAATTACATTTCATTATATTTTATTTTTTTCTCATATTTTTAATCATACAATGTTCCATAAAATAATATTACACGTAAATCGAAAACTTTTCCCTCTTTTTCAATAACTTATTTTTCAAAAAAATATTATTCCACCCATTTCTATTACTAAAAATTGGAGGCCAAATAGGGGCTAAAAGTATCTTTTTTTATTTTATTTTCTGTTTTTTCGGTTGGTCGTGAGTTACACATTAATTATTCCTAAATAAAGGGAAAAACCATGTGGCAGCTAGCGCACGTTAGCAGTGAGCAGTTTTGGTTTTATTTGGTGCAGTTAGGTTCGACGTTTCACGTCATGAACTCAATTTTGAATTATTCTTTCGTTAAATTACGTAACTCCCCCATGTTCATAGTCTATTTAAATGTGCCACGTCGGCAAAATCTTAATTTTTTTACAAATTAAATTAATTTGTAGAATTAAAAGCATTAATTTGTATACAGCCGCCTGTGACGGCCGCGGTCATGAAAGTGCACTTACACTGCGAGGGATGCATACAGAAAATCCACAAGATTGTGACCAAAACAAAGGGTGAGATTATCAAAATCATTGTTAGTTTTTAGTACTCATATTGAAGTGTAGTTGACGGAGATATTTGACGGCGTTACAGGGTATGAAGATATGAAAATAGACAGACAGAAGGATTTGGTGACAGTGATTGGAGCAATGGACATGAAGGCTCTAGCTGAGACTCTCAAGAAGCATTTGAAGAAAGAGGTTGAGATTCTACCTCCCAAAAAGGAAGGCGGTGGCGGTGATAAGGGGAAAGGTGGCGGCGGTGAAGAAGTTGGTGGGAATAAGGGGAAAGGCGGTGGTAAGGGTAAGGATGGTGGCGGTGAAGAAGGGGGTGGGGGAGAGAACAAGGTGCAGGTCCAAATTGGGAATCCATATCCGTATATGTACGCGCTGGGTCCAGTGGGGGACCAGTTTCAACACTATTCACATGTGTATGGACCCTACCATGCACCCCAAATATTTAGCGACGAGAATCCAAATGCGTGTAGTGTCATGTGAGAGGAGGTGAGAGGTAATTTGTACATGAAGGAAGAATAGAATGGATTATCTTATGTTGGTGGGTCGTTAATTAGGTTTCTTTGTTTAATGGATTGTTAAGGTTTCAAAAGAGTTAAATTATGTTTTGCTCTTTCATAATTATCGTTGTTTTTATATTATTACTCAGTAAAAGTTGGGTTACAAACTACTACCCAGGGCGGACCCACTAAAGGACGAGTAGGGTCGAGCGTCTCATTAAATTTACGAAAACCTTCCATTTGACCTTGTTGAATTTAAATTTTCAGATTTTTTTGATATTTTTTAAAATTTAGTTTTGCCAATTTTTCGTCTCGCCTCTTGTCTCTGCTACTACTTAGCGCAACTCGTCATCTTTCTAAATGGAATAAATCTACTTTGACATTGGATGATGTGTAAAAAATTTGGCCATTAATTTGAATGTTTGTAATTTAAATAAATGACTAAATTGCCCATCACGTCATGAGATGTCGATATAGTTTAATGTGTCTCCTTCCCTTCCTTTCCTTTTATTTTTTGTTAAACATTATATTAGTACTAGAACTCGAAAATAAAAGTTCATTATAATTTCAATATTTAAAAATAATTGTTTTTTTCACTATCGACCGACACTGATTCACAACTTTTAAGTCCATTCATTTGTAGAAAGTTTTTGGGTAATCGACCGCTAAGATGAATCGTTTTCATTGTCCTTAGTACTTGTTGAAAAATAAAACGATCATTCGCTTTTCAGGTGACAATTATATCTGTGTAAAAATTCTAGGCCGATTTTAGGTAAATTTATGATCAATAATTGATCTACATCATTCACAACTCATTTTAATCTTTAGAGAAGATAGAAGTGATTAATTATCTCAAGTGGTAGGTAATACATGTGTGTATGTGATGCATATGATTATTATAACTTGATGTCATTATGGTAAAAGCCTAAAGCACGTTCTTTTGTTAAAAGGCGATGAAAAAGTAACATTAGACAAACAAATAAATTCATTTCCTAATCAAATCTTAACCATTTTGGAACCATTCGTTTTCAAAGTGAATTGATGCAATGCAATACAATAATTCTATGAACAATAGAACGAGTATTTTATAAAGGATTGGTTGATGGGACGGATAGGCACAGAATTCAAGATTTTGATGGAATTTGGACAAATATGGTTGGTTGTTGGATTGATAAAATTTAAATTTCTCTTGTTCTATTGTCAATCATATTTTAATACGTTCACACAGCGAATTCTTTTTGACCGCTCTTTGTGTTCGTTGTCTTTTGAATTTCGTAAGAGGCTATGCCCCTCCTTGCCTAAGATTTCATTTTTTTGTATTTATGAAAAAATGATTTATTTATTTTAAACATTTAAGATGGATGTAAGATAAAGAAATCTAATAAGAGGCAAAGAAAGTGATTATTTTTCTCGGTGAAATTCACAATATCAAACAATACCTAAATTTTAACTAATGTGATTGTCATTTGGTAAAATGGATTGAAGAAATACATTATATAGTATGAATTTATTTTGAATTATATTTATAATGAATTTACTTATACGTGAATAATGTACATATAAGTGAAATATCACTTATAAATAAAATTAAATATAAGTAATTATTTAGGTTTCAAAATAAATATTTTTTTTGTTAAAAATATTAAGTTACTTATTTTGTCACAAACTCAAGGATTACATCTAAACGAAAAAAATTTTACAACTTAAAAGTATAATAATTAAAAAAAAAGAGTAAATTATCTAAATCAGAGAAAGCTACTTAAAAATAATTTTTTCGAAAAAAAAATATAGGCAAAAAGATTATCATAATTTATTTTTCTTTTTCGATATTTATGCATTTTTTATGCGTGATGCTATATCAAATATAGTCCAATTCAACGTGATACAATCTTCATATTTCTATCCTTCATATGATCACTACGGTGTACCAATGGTACCCTTAAAAAATATCGTAAAACTAGGTATCTATTAAGACTTTGGTATCTTTTATATTTTATTATATACTTAATCCCTATTTGATAGAGATAGGGACGGATCCAGGATTTGATCCAAGATCGGATTACAAAATTTCAAGTCGGACTAATACGGGAAAAAAATAAATTTACACATAAAAAAACTGTTTTTACAGAAAAATGAAAAATGTCTTAACAAAAAAAAAAAAAAATCTTGGGCCTTGGAGGGGGACTACAGCCCAGATCGGTCCCCCCCACCACCCTCCGTCCCTGGATAGAGATTAAAATTAAAATTTTAATAAATTTTGATAAAAATTTATAAAATGTGTAGTTGAAAAATTGTGAATCTCATAAATTTTATGGTGATTAAAATTAATTTTAGATTTTAACTTAAATTAAAATTTTAATTTTAATTCCTGCCAAATAGTAACTTAATATATGTTGTTGGATCAAGATCTAGCAAATAGCAGTGCAGTGGTAATGATGAATGAGAAATACAATACAAAGTGTCGCATGCAATAATATTATTCTACATTACAGTCCGACTTCAATGATTCATGATCATGCAAACATTCCTAAAAATAAGAACACGTTTGGCAAAGCCTGGAAAAAAATAAAAGTAAAGTACTTTTGTGATATATTTAGATAATAAATTGTTTCCCTTTTCTTATTTTAATTAAAAAGTAACTTTCGTGTGATGTGAAAATAAGTAATTTACTTATTTTTATTTTTCTCGTTTAAAAATATTGCAAACTTTAAAAACTTACTTATTTACTTATAAATAATTCTTTTAAGCTAAAATACAGGTGTTTGGTTTAATTGTTACTCAAAGGAATCTTTGGGAGATTCCAAGTCCATGTGATTAGTGAAGCTCTTTCGTTTAGTCAAAATGATTACAAGATGTAGAACCCACGTGGGGTTTATGAAGAAGATATGGAAAAGCACTGGTCATGAGAAAGCAACAAAGGAAGAAAATTATTATTTTCATAATTAGCCTAAATGGCAAGAAATGAGCACATTCATTGCTTTATGTATGTTCTTAAATTTTATAGTGTGAATGCATTTTTAAGTTACTAAAGATTTTTAGGTCGAAATTATTGAGAGATTGATGTTTAGTCATTAGTCATTTCAATTTTGATATTTCTTTTCACCTACGCAAACTTGTAACTTGTGTCTTATCGATTGTTCGAGAAGAGATATTTAATGATCAATTATACTGTGATGTTCAAAATATCTAAGCTTAAGTTGTGTATTGGAAACAATTCTATAGAGTTTTTACTTGAATAAAGTGCATGCATCTTACTTTTACTTAGAATGACAAACAGTATCATTTACAGCTTGAACGTGTTGAAGCTAAACGATAAAGATGTAATTGTTGAAGCGAGGTAAAAAGTAAGAGTTTAATATATTTTAGTATATAGTAAATATACGTGTCTAACAAAAGATAAGGCAAAAAATAAAATAAAATTGAAGTTTGACGTATTTTGGCGTATGAAAAAGACATGTACTGAACACTAAACAAGATAAGAATTACGTTCAAAATAAGAATTGACAGTTTGATGTATTGATGATGATATTGTTGATTTTCATTCAATGCACTCATTTCTTTTCAATCATACCATCTGAAACATGTTATTGTAGAACTTTGGATTTTTTTCTTAATTTTGATTCTCTTTGTTGTTGCCTTCTGAACTCTAGAATAATTCACCATTGACTAGGTTGCTCCCATAATCTAAATAAATTCAAAATGATATTCTTTTCTTTGATGAAAGGACTGAAATATGTACCACATTTTCCAGCCAAATCTTCACTTATTTATCATCAAAGCTCCTCCTAAAATTTCATCGGCAAAATTCTAGTTAACATCACGGAAACAATATTCCCTATAAACGATTTGCTCCTGAGACCCATTCACTCTAAATAGTTTTACTAATAGATATTTTCACCACAATATTTGAATCCGTGACATCATGAGACACAACATAGAATGAGCGTCATACTAGTGTAAAATGTGATACTTTTCTTTTGAAATAATATTTGCAGAGATACCTAAAAATATAGGAGAGTTTCATTGTGAAACACATTACTGAATAATTCATGGATAGAGTCAAAAAAGTGGTTTGAATTTTAGTTCCCACATCAAATGCGGACAGGTACTATGCCACGATGTTTTTCATCATCTAATTACGTGACTTATTTTGCGAGAATATGGAAAAAGAGAGCTTTCAAAAAGGACTTTATTTGGTGTACATAATTTTTTGTACATCAAAGCGTCCCACACTCATATGGGGTGGGCCTACTCGAATATTTTATTCGAGTGAACCACAATCCGTGCGAGTGTATGGATACATTAATGTACAAAAAATTATATACAACTAGTGTTATCCTTCCCAAAAACTTTATATGGAACTTTAGGCCTAGTTTGCAATTTTAAGAAAGTTATTACAATTATTTTCCATTTATTTGTTGGCAGTGACATTCTTGTAATAAAATAAACATTTTTGAAACTGAAAATTATTGTAAAACCGGGCGTACAACTAGTTTAATTCTTGTAAAAAATGCACATTAACTATTCTGCAAACAAAAACTTTTTGGCTGACCACAGCGACAATTTAGAATTTGTATTTGCAAATAATAAATATGAAGTTAAATTGAGGTTTTGACTAAAATTTATTAGGACACTAGGTCTTGTTTGATCTAATTCAATGTCAATAATTAATTTTAACCATGTATTTCATGGGATTCATAACTCTTCAACCACACATTTTACTAATTTTTATCAAAATCTACCAAAATTTTGATTTTAATCTCTATCAAACATGGCACTCACCGGACTTGCAAAATGATTCCTCATCTTAATTAAATTTTCCTTTAACTCTCTAACTATTTTTCAAATATTTGAATATAAGTCCCTCAATGATTCACCATCAAAATTTGCTAAACTTGTACTTCCCCCTCAATAGATTTCTCATAGTTGTTTTCCCTCCTTAATTTCCTTTTTTTTTTTCCTTTTCCTTTTTCATTTTAAATTCATCTACTCTATATTTTGTCTCTTTTTTCCTTATCCTATGTTTTGTCTGTTTTTGTGCGATGAAATTACCTAAGAAGAACAAAACTATTAAAAACACGCACTAAAATTTTGAATTCTCCTTTATTAATCCAATTTGATACAACTCAAGATCATGACAATATTTATCTATTCTTGTTGATCAATTTGCCTATTTTGTTTAACAATATTTCTCAAGAAAAATTAAACTTATACACTCATACGACATTCCTATGTTTCTATAAAAGATGTGAACGTTAAAGATTGCATTAAAACATGAGAACACTTGCTAAAATCTAGAAATGCATAACGGTTTGTCCTTATCCTCTATCAAATCTCACAATTATTGTTATAAGAAAAATGTTTGTTGTACATTATCATTTACATAATCTTTTACGAATTGACGAGGAGTTAAGAAAAAGTGATGGAGTTTTTTATCTGGTTAATGATATTTTGACTCAATCAAATATTACCAAATTATAAGTTGGCAAACAAATCTGTAATTTATGATGTATATGCAACACATTTGTTGTTATAATGGGCTAGCTTTCTTATTACTTTTCTCAATTATAACAAAAATCACACAGCAGTCCAATTAAGATTCTTTTATTGAAAAGCATTAAACAAGATAACAATCATCCAAGATAAACAAATATTAATGTCAAAGTTCTAAACCCAATATTAAAAATTCATAATAAATGATTCATTCACGTCTTATTGACTACAAGTTTAGCCTAACATTATAATGTTACAAGAAATCATATTGCAGTAATAAGAGATCGCCCTAATTTGAAATATACGAAGAAAAAGAGAACTTGGGAAATCTTAAATCTCTTTAAAATCTTTCTTGATTAATCTTTAGTTGCATCTTATTCTTTTTGCCCAAAAAACGAGAAATAATATTCAAAAGATTGATTTCTTGTATCTTGCTTTTTGATTCCTTATGAAAGAGTAGTAGATTGCCTTTCTTGAGTGCAAAAAATTGTATAATATTTGACAGATACATCTCCAATTGTTAAATGAAGTTTTGTATTATTAAATCCCATAATTAGGTGGAATTTGCGTCCAAAGAGGTTTTCATAAAGTAATCAAATCATATAAGAAAACAACTCTAGTTGTCAAATTTATTTCTGTGTTATTGCACCATGTGCGGTGGTGCGATCGCATTTATGAAAAATTGGCTTATGCAATGGGATTGCCTAAAGGTGTGTGATCACAAGCCTCCTTCTATTGTCCTATTACATGTTGGTCCCTAATTTTTTCCTTTCTTTCTGCTTACGTTCTTTTCTCGTGCAAGTTTGATCCCCCATCTTCTAAGTTCATTCAATTGGATTCCACTTGTCTTCAATCATCATTCCTGTGTCTGAATCAACTTTTGAAAATTTGTAATCTAGTCCCCAAATTTTAAAATCATTCCTTTATCACCATTCTTTGACCGATTTTCACTTCTTTTTATCAAAAGCCAAGTTAAAGTTTCTTGTAAAAACCTTTTTTTTTTTTAGAGAAACTCAAATTTGGCTTCTCTAGAACAAGATTTTAAGTTATTCTTTTTTGTAAATAACTAATGTTTTTATTTAAACAAAAGAGCTTCTAACGTAAAAATACTTTGTCTGAAAAAGCTCTTCCGATCTCCCTCTCAAGTTTAATCAATATTATAAAAATCGGATCGAGCCGGCCATTCAATCGGAAAAATCGTGAACCAGTTTTGAAAATGGTCCAGCCATCATATATTAACCGGATAATTAAAAATCGATAAAATCCATTGACTCAGCCGGTTTAACCGTAAAGCTAAAAGTTGGTACTTGTTTTTAAATTTTTATGACTTTTTGTAACAAACTTTTTGGGCCCACTTATTAAAAATAGTAGGCCCATTTCTTACTTTTGGCCGAATGATGCTAATTTTATAGGAGAATCCTCTTCCATAGCATTGTTGAACTTCCAATGTGAGATGTGTAACTACAACTAACAATTATAAACAATTCATTGGTTGCGATGTTAGCTGCCAGATTCGTTTCTTTGGACTTTGAAGCTTTTGTGTTTTGATTTTATTTGGAAGTTACATAAAAGTAAAGCAAAAGAAATTAAAAGTAATTTCAATTAATATTAATCATATTATTAATTTAATTTAGCATCCGGTTCGTACCACTTCAACCCCAATTCGATCCTTGATCCTCTTCCTTTTTCGGGTCAATGCCCCGGCCAATTTTTAAAACATTGGGTTTAATTGAGTGCAATCTTAAATTTAAAAGGGAGACGAAAGCATTGATTGGATCAAATAGTAGATTGGGCTCTTTCTCTACTCTTATAAACCTTTTAGACCAACAATAATGACTTGCAATAATTATTTTTGGGCTAGCCCAATACTAATATTGCCTAAACTTTTTTGGACATAAGGTCCATATCCATATAGCCCAACTCAAATTTAAATCCCTATATACCAAGCCTCGTGCTCTGACTCCATTCGAACTCTCCCAATCTTTGTGCGACACAACGTAAATTACTGTTCTTGCCCATTTCCGAAACCCTAGATCCCCCTCTTAGTCAATTTCAAGGTAAAATTTACGAAAATGTCTATTTCTTTTATTTATTTATTTTTTTGATCGAGGGTATATTTGGAATTTAATTACAGATGGTGTCGGACGCAAGCAAGAAGAAGGCAGCGCAGAAGAAGGCGGCAGCGGCGGCCAAGAGAGGTGGCAAGGCCGCGGCTCCTGCATCCTCGTCGAAGACGGCTGAAAATGGAAGTAAAGTTGATAATTTGGCGAATGAGGTCGAAGCGCTTCTGATATCCGATCGGACATGTACCGGAGTTCTGTGCTCTCATCCGCTTTCCAGAGATATTCGGGTTAGTTGTCAGATTCAATTTCAGTTTTGGTTCTGATGAATTTCTTTTTTCTTTATTTTTTTAATTTCAGATTTCTTGGTTTGTATTGTTTACATTTGAACCCTTAATTTTTCCTTTTTTTTTTCTCGAGAATTAATTGAGGTTTCGATATCTGGTCTTTATATATATATATATTTTTTAGGATTTCATTATTAAAATGTTTGTTTTCTATATTGTATTATTTTGTGGTATTATTAAATTTTGA